TTTGCAGAATAATATTTTACAAGAGACAAATAAAGTCAACAGGTAAAAACAACTGTAAACTGTGGGTACTGCCCAATTTGTAGGGTTTAGCATTAAACAGAGTCACAAAGATATGCAATAAATGACCATAACAATGGACCTGACTGTAGAGCCAACAGATCCTAGGTGGACCTTTGATCCCAGGAGCAAAAGAGGGAAGAAAAGACCTCTCTTCAGTCAGATGCCTTTAAGCCCTGATGCCACAGGCAAAACAAAATAATGGCAGAGCACAGCATGTGAAACCTGTTTAAGAGTCCCCCTTTAAGATAAACAGTTGCTACACTAGGAGGAAAAAAGGGTTAGCCAGTGAAAGACTCTGCAAGCTGAATCCTCTGAGTGGAGGAATCCTTGAGGTAAGGGTGTTCATGGTCTTCAGCTAGCTATGAAGGGGCCCAAAGGTATTATGGTGCAATGGCAGGTAGAAGAGGATGAAGAAGAAAGTGAATAGAGTGGACAAAGTAGTTCCCAGCAAAGGCCTTTAAGTGGATAAATGGAGGGGGGGGGGGTAACGGTGTCTGCATGCAGTATCTCTGAGTGGGGTATAAAAGTTGAAGGTCTTCAGCCAGATGAAGGATGCCCAATTGGCAACCTGTTGACAGGGACTCAGTGATGTCTGTGTGGGCATATGTGGAGGTAGCCCTGAGTACAAACACTACTGATGAGGTGCCTGTGGCTGCTGGACAGGATCACTGTGCTGAACGGTCGTGGGTTGTGTGGTTTATTCCCTCCCTCTACACCAAGGGTGTCAAACTGGTGGCCCTCCAGCTGTTGCAAAACTACAAGTCCCATCATGCCTCTGCCTTTGGGAGTCATGTTTGTAACTGTCAATCTTGCAATGCCTCATAGGACATGTAGTTTGGCAACAACTGGAGGGTGCCCAGTTTGACACTTGTGCCCTACACAGTAATGGCTGTCCACACACTCCTTGCTCTCTCAACAGTAATGGGTTCCACTGGCCCAATATCTAGGGATGAAACTGCCTCCAGTCCTTTCCTAGCTCTCCTCTCCCCTTAGACGATGATTCTGGGGCAGTGTGGCTCCCTCTTCTCACACTGTCCTCCCCCGTTCTTCCCAGGAAGACCCGTTATCCCCCTCGCCTGCCAAGCATGCTGGGGTTGTAGTTTTTTTTCTCTTCATTCAATTGGGCTGCCTGTGTTCTGAGACTACATATCCCATGATCCTCCCCCTTGCTGCTTCTTTCTGATTGGCTCTTCCCCCTGGCCAGTGGGAAAAAGGGCGAGCGAGCGGCTGTCCTGGCATGTGCCCCAGTAAAGCAACATGAGTAATAGAGGGAGGGGGGAAGGAAGAGCCCAAAGCTGCTCTCAATCACCACAGTGTAACACAGCCACTCTGGTCTTCTGCTATACGTCTCCCCACTACTGGCAGGATAAGGGAGGTGAGGGGGAGGAGACGCAGACAGCAGCTCTTCCTGCTGCTTACAGAGGTGACTCGATTCGGGTGGAGAGGAAGAGGGGTGGCATAGTCTTTCCCCTTCAGACCTGCTCCTGTTATCTGCCGGTGGGGAGAACAAGCAAGGGGGGGGGATCACTACAGGATATTCATTTTTATCTGGTTATTTTTTGGTTGGAGTCCTGCTTTAAACTTTTGCTGTATGTTGTGACAGTGTAGCAATATTTTTCAAAAACGTAATAATTAAGAGACTGTGGCCATGAGTTTTAATTTATTTCTCCTCTTTTGTACTGATCTGAGCTGCAGTTAGTTACATTAGCACACAAACAAAGACAAAAAAAAGGAGAAAGAGGAGAAATGGAGCGGGGGGGGGGGTTTGGGACAAGTTTTTTCATATCGCTTTTCTACTGCCTGTATAAATATGCAGCATCTACAATCTTCAGATGTTTAATTGCATGTCGTCCTTCAGGGAGGGAGCAATAAAGCATCTGCGGATATTGTGATGCCAAGCTTCAGTATGATGGCATTGCCGTGAGCCCCACAAGTACTTAGCAAAATAAATTCTGGCCTACAGCACAGGTGAACCATTGTCTGAACTAGCAGACTATTGCCTGTCTGTTGCAGTGGGAAGACTTCGGCTTGAGAAGGAGTTCATGCACAGTAATTGAAGAGTCTGAGGACATTTAGCACACTATTACCCTTGAGTTTTCACTTTTAAAAACAAAAGTACCTGTTCAGCATGTTTGAACAATTGTACTATATAGTCAAACACAATGATCTACGTTTACTTTGTGCAACCGCAATCAACTGCCATGCTGGAGCAGTTATACCCCTTTCAGGCAGTGCGGATCCATCAGTGCGATGCGCCTGCTCAGTCGGGGATCTCTCCTCTGATCCTGCAGAGCAGGCAGATGGCAGGTCTCTGCAGAGCGGACACAGACACTGCCTGCTGATTTCAAAGGGACGGCTGGATGGAAACTGACCGATTGTCATCCGACCCAATCCGTTGATTGGATGACGGATGGATCCTCATCCATCTGTTTTTGGCGTACAGGAGCACAGCGGTTGCTGGCGGATATCAGTGGACTATTGTCCGCTGACACCCAGCAGTCCATAGGAGTCTATAGATAAACCAATGGGGTCTGCCTGGAAAACAGACAGGCAGACCCCATCGGTCGTGAGAAAGGGGCCTTAGAGGATACATATAAGAAACAGGATGGAGTAATATGATCTCCTATCAAGAGGAACCTAGTTCTAGTATAGTTTCAGTATATTTCAACTTAGGAGGGAGGGTTAGCGCCCTTTTGTTGAAAGTGCATTTACACTTTAAAGCTGAACCTTACTGCAATACTTGCATTGATCCAACTTTGACCAATGTAAGTTTGCATCTCTCACACCTGAAGAAGTTGACAATCACTGTAGTAGTTGCTGCTACTACAGTGATAGCTACAATCTTCAGGGTCCCATGTTGACTGGCTTCCCTTCTGTGCATTGACCACAGGGCATCCCTAGCTTGGCAATGCTGCCATTCACAGAACTCCTTGCATTTGTTACTGAATACAAGGCATTCTCTGATTGGATGAGGTGGAGAGGTGTGGTGGTGGTGTCACAAGGGAAGAGCGTCAAAGGTAGCACGTAGCTCTCCTCTCCCCTCAGATGATGATGCTGGGGCAGTGTGGCTCTCTCTTCCTCACACTGTCCTCCCCCTTTCTTCCCAGAAAGACCCGTTATCCCCCTCTCCGGCCAATCATGCTGGGGTTGTAGTTTTGTGAAACCCAAAACCCCCCTGCACAAGCTGTGAGGCAGGTGTCACACAACAGTGCCCTGCCAGGCAAGCCACTGGAGTTCCAGAATTTGTTTTGGGACTGGGCTCTAGGGTTTATATACTAGGCTCAGCTCCTAGGGATCTGGATTTTACCACCCTCATGCCCTCCTGGCATGCTCAGGCAGCTGCCTAAGCTGCCTATTGCTTGCACTGGCCCTGATAAAAGCCAGGCAGGGCTGTGGATAATGGGGTGCCACCAGTCCTCCTGTATGGGGCACAGGCCAGCAGGGGGGCCCAGGCATCTGGGTGAATCTGATGTGGACAGAGAGGGTGATCAGCATGACAGGGGGGTAATAACTGGAACCGATCCCCTGTATGGCTCTCTCTGCAGCAGATGAAAGTGGCTCCTTCTCCTCTCCCTCCTGCTGGCATTTAACTGCTGTAAAGAGCCATACAAGGGGATCAGTTCCCGTAATTGTCCCCTCTCACACCCATCACCCTCCCTGTTCACCATACATTTCCCCCTGCTACCCTGCAAGCACACAGGCATCCTTCAGAATGGAGAGTGAGGGAAGGGTCTGGTAAATATGCCCCATTTACTAGTCCCTATCCTGAATGAACACAATGAGTGATTGGTACTGATCACTCACTGTGTTCATTCATAACTGAAGCATAGACAACTGTAGGGTTTTTTGGTGGTGAGGCCCTGTCAGGTTGGCTTTATGGGGCCCCGTGGTTTCTAACAGCAACCCTGAAGCTAGGGTTGTTTGTTTTTTTTTCAAGAGGGCCAAAGTTGGGATTTAGGATCATTTGTAGCTGGTTTGTGCTATAAACTTTTTTTGTTCAAGTCATCACTATACTTGTGTTCCTTTTTTCCCCCCTTATTTATCACCTAGTGTATTTTGGAAGGTGCCCAATTCTAGGGTAGCCCAGTGATCAAACATAAGTTTATACCATTAGCTATAAAATCTGCCAAACTTTGCAAGGCTTTCCGAGCGTACACAAGGGATTTACTGAAATGTACTTTGAATGAATTCCACTTTGGCAACCCTTTTAAAATATTCATGGCATACTGACTCAAAATCTGCTTTTTTTTTCCGTTATCATAGCTTGGATGTATTTTTGCAGTGCGCTGCTAAATTGAAATACATTCTATATTTATGTTTGCATTTTTAAGATAACATTCATTGTTATAAGTAACCACTTTTATATTACACTCAACAGACACAAATGCACAGGGAAGCTTAATTTTTTTGTTTTACTGAATTGAACCTCTGCTGAATCATTCATTAGTTGTGCACTAAATGTAAATGATTCATTTCTACGGCATTGATAAAGCAGCATATTGGGTTCATGAGTTGCATTTAAAGCAGAACTACTCTCTCAATCAACATTAACTATTTTTTTGCTAGCATTAATAAAGAGATAGGTAAGTTTATTGTATTTACTTGTTTAAACATTTTTTTTTACATTTCTTCAGTTGCTTCCTGGTTTCTGGCCTAGGCCATTATTATGGCTTATTCATGGGCAATTTTTTTTCTTTTTTTTGGAGGAAGGGGGGAAGGAGAGGACGGGCTATAAATACGCCCTCCTGCCTGTTTGCCTGTGCTAAGGGTAGATAGATTCCAGGAAGTAAATGCTACATGAATCATCTGCCCTTGCCGAAGATGGCTGCAAATAGAAATGATAGGGAGTGTTTTCAAAGTGATTTCTCAACAAAAAAAAAAGCATGCTGACAGGAATACTCCTAGGACCTTGCTAAGTGAGGCCTAGCATTGCTGCTCACCAGGGGCGGACTGACAACTCATGGGGCCCCCGGGCAATAGGGGATCATGGGGCCCCTGTGTCCAAACTCAAAAAAGCCTATGAAAAAGGTACCAGGGGCATCTCATGGGGCCCCCTACTGACCCCGGGCCCTCAGGCAGTGCCTGCGTTTCCAAATGGTCAGTCCGCCCCTGCTGCTCACCATCACAGGAGTGAGCTTTTTCTCTTATTCAGACCCCCTCACACATTCTCTCTCCCCTGAGGTATTAGTTCAGCGTCTGAAAGCTCTCTCTTGTGAAGGTGTAGAATATGCAGTTAAATTTTGGGCACCAATTCACAAAAATAACATTGGGGAACTGGAGAAAGTACAGAAAAGGGCAACCAAACTGATTAGAGGCATGGAGGAGCTTAGCTATGAGGAAATATTAGAGATACTGAATTTATTCTCTTGAGAAGAGGAGATTAACATGTATAAATACATCAGTGGTTCATATAGTGAACTCGGTGTAGAGCTGTTCACCCCGAGGTCATCACAGAGGACAAGGGGGAACTCTTTACATCTGAAGTAAAATGGATTTATCACCAAATACTGAAAGGTTTCTTCACAGTAAGAGCTGTGAAAATGTGGAATAACCTCCCTCAAGAGTTGGTTCTGGCCAGCTTAGTGGATTGCTTTAAAAAAGGTCTGGATTCTTTCCTAGATACACAGAATTTGACTGGTTACTAACATTTATAGGTAAAGTTGATCCAGGGAATATCCGATTGCCTCTTAGGGGATCAGGAAGGAATTTTTTTCCCTGCAGGAGCAAATTGGATCATGCTTTGCTGGGTTTTTTTGCCTTCCTCTGGATCAACTGTGGTATAGGATTATAACGTTTGTTTTGTTTTTTTTTACATGGTTGAACTGGATGGACTTTTGTCTTTTTTCAGCTAGACTAACAATGTAACTATGTAAGGTGGAGGTGGCAGGAATGACTAGGCCTCACTTTGCAACACCCTGGGAGTTTTCCAGTCAGGCTTCACGAGGTATGTAAATGGCCTACAACTATAGCAAGGGTATTATTCAACTTTAGCCAGAGCTGCACAGTTTGTTTTTATCTAAAGACATCCCTTATCTGTATAGGCATTTTTTTTGTACAGATGAACTAACCCATTAACGGTTTAAAAAAACATTCTAGGCATGCTGGGAAGGTTAACTGTCACATATGCTTGTGTTCTCAACCAAACTGTCAAACCATCAAAAGGCTGCAGTCACATGTGATCATATGTGCAGCACTATAGCAGTTGCAGATCAAAGAGAGGCTGAGATGTCAGCTTCCCTGGCTGAACAGGATAGGAGGGTTTAGTTCCGCTTGAAGTGATAAGAGCTGAGAGAAGAAAACAGGCATAATGCATCATTAGGATTTTTTACAAAATTTTTTAATTCTTGTTAAAAATTCCTTTACAAAAAAGTGCAGTCCATAACAAGCAATTAGAATGCAGTTACAGCAAATGCAACAAACCAACTCCCATTTTTCTGGAATAGGTGAGAAAAACCTAATTGGTTGCCAGGGGACCAGAGAATCTTTCCACTTTTCCTCCATTAGCACCACAATACATGTTGGACTGCAACTTCCTTTAACGGTTTTGGCTATTGGTTGTAGCATAGGATTACTTTCTATGTTCTATATCCTGTCTGCAGCAGAAGAAAGAAAGGAATATCTTTTTGGGACATTTTCATCCAAGTTCATTAAATAGATTTTCCTGGCTTGGTCATTTTTAGACATGCGCAGAACTAAAAAATTTGTTTTGTTTCGATTCATTCTTTAAATAATTTTGTTTCGTTAAATTTGTTTAATTTGTTTTCGAAATTCATTTTGTTTTTTTTTGGTCCATTCTCTGTAAATTCTAGATAAGGTTGTGCGTGAAAATCCCAGTAGATCAGCAGTTTTTGAAATACTCAGACCAGCTTGTCTGTCACCAACAACCATGCCAAGTTCAAAGTCACTTAAATCCCCTTTTTTACCCATTCTAATCCTAGGTTTGAACTTCAGTAAGTTGTCTTCACCACCTCTACAGGCATAAATGCATTGAGTTGCTGTCAAGTGATTGACTGATTAGCAATTTGTGTTACCAAGCAATTGAAGAGGTGTACCTAATAAAGTGGTCGGTGAGTGTAGGTTAGGGTCAGTTTTGGAAGGGCTGTCTTAATAACATTATGGGCCCCTGGGCAAAGTATTGCACTGGGACCCCTACTAGGGAGATGGAGACTTGACGCATGCGTAGTGCACTGTGGGTGTGGTTGTGGCTAAATTATGCTAAATATTGGGTGTGGATTTTTAGTCTGATTAGAAATACACATATAAACAAAACCTGGGAATTATCCAAAATTAAATTCACCCTCTGTGCGCACTTCCCTGCCCTCATTACACGCTGCCCCCTGTATACACTTGCCATCTTTTCCCCTGTACACACTACTCCTACTCTTTTTTAACCCTACCCCCCTCCCTGTACACACTGCCCCCTGCTGTGCTTCACCTCTCCCCTGCTGACAGGAGTAGTGAGTGACACTGTTGTCACATCTCCTGTCACCCTATAGTGGCAGAGCCTAATGCAAGATTTTCATGGGGCCCCTATCCATCTGGGGTCCCTAGACAGTGCCCAGGGATGCCCATGCATTAAAGTGGCCCTAGGTGTCGGTGTTAGCATTAGGGTAAGTGGCAGCATTGGTGTCAGTGTGTTTTAGATAAAAAAGAAGAAAGCAAAACGTGCTTTGTGTCTTGTCCAGATACCGATACAAACAACAAATAATGCTCACATCTGTGGTATTATTATGCAGATCAGGAGTAGGAGAAATTATTTGGACTGTTTCTTTTTGGTGGTGGGTCATGGTAGTGGAAAGAAATATACAGTTAGTTTTTTAATGATGTTTTTTTACTATTGTGGGTGAGTTTTACTTTCATAATAAAGAAAATCAGAAGATATCTATTTTCATTTACCACCAAATAAAGGCCCAATTTAGCCTGAAAAGAATAAGGTATAATTCACTTGGATACACTAAGTACGTAGTTGCAACAGGTGTGTCTAGTTTTACTAATACATGCCAAAGTTGCAAAACTGGTTTGACTCATCAAGATTTGATTTACCTTTCACATCAAGGGGTTAAGAAACCTGAGAATATATATATATATATATATATATATATATATATATATATATATAAAAAAATCATAGAACATTTTCTGATTTCTTCCATTTCGATGAGTTTGTCAGAATTTATTATTCTTTGATTTGTGATAGATAACACCTGTCAAACAAGTATCAGATGGTAGAAGCAATTGATATTACAAATTCAAATTGTAAAGAATCACAGAGCTGATCATTACCATTCATAGGTTTGTGAAATAACACTGCTTAGCTTTTCCTTTTGATTATGTCTGGGACTTTGCACAGAAATCCGTTTTGTACTTGTACTGCAAAAAGATAATTTCAATGGAAATTACTTCTTACAAAGGAACCTCAGCACAGCCAGCAATGGTTGTGGTTACATATTTTTTTTGTTTGTATTTATAGATTTTAGTGAATGATCATTATAATAATGTACTGTATATGATTAAGTATTAATAATATTTATAATAATAATAAAAACACATTTGCCAACATTTTGTAATTCTCCATGCCACATCTACACAGTATTAAAAGAGCCTTGCAACCATAATTCATAGCAACAAATTAGCATTCAATGTTTTTTGCTAGCACTGGTCAAAGTAATGAAATATAAAATCTGTTTTGCCATTGTCACCATCAAGAAGCCAGCAAAGAGCAATAATGCGCAGCCACCACTGGAGCATGTGCATGAGGACAGGAATTAGCTGAAAATAAGCTGGTGAAGATCAACAGCATCAGGATACAAAAGTTATGTAAAATAGAGGAAACTGTAAACTATGTAATAATACAATTGTTTGATACATCAGGATTAGCAACTAATTGGTATTCAGGTAGAATTTCGATCTACTTTAAACTTCTCAGTTTGTCTGATTGCTAAAGGATACTGAACATCATTGTCTTATTCCTTTTTGTATTCAATAGTATGGTACAATCTAAGACACCTGCAAATAAAGAAGGAACAAACAAGCTTTTAACCCTTTTTTTCCCATATTTTGTGTCTTTGCTTTATCAGCTTGGCTTAATGTAAGTATGCATAGCTCATACCTGAGGGGCCACTGGGGACACTGACAATCACTGTAGTAGTCAGCACTGTTACAGTGATAGCTACAATCTTTCAAGTCTTGTGGATGAGCAGCTTCCCCTCTACACATTGACTACAGGGGGTTACTTGTTTTGGTGCTGCCGCCATTCATATTTTTTATTGTGAATACCAGGGGTTCTTTGATTGGACAAGGTCGAGATCACAATCTTTCTGACTCTCCTCTCCACCTAGTCCTATCTGGTAAAACCTTGCATTCATTGAAAAAACTGTAGGCAGTGCCAAGCGAGCAACCACTTGTGGTCAGTGTACAGTGGAACAGCTGCTCGCATAGAACCTAAGCAGGACCCAGAAGATCGAAGCTATCACTGTAAGAGCACCATCTACTATAATGATTTCCAGCCTCCACAGTACTCCATCAGGTATGAGATATACAAAGAAAAAAAGGAGAGGTCTAGCCTCAGTTTATGGACTATCTCAGTACCCAAAAGGACAAGGAGTTTACCAATAGAGGGTACCAATAATGTTTAAGGGATATACATACATACATTGTGCCATGTTGGACCAATGTAATTATGCAATCCGGGCGATACTAGTATACATGCCTGAATCTCCTTTATATTAGCTTCTTGTAAGTGTCCATGCAGCAGCAAATGTCAGCAACAAAGCCTTTACTCTAATCAGTGCTCTTTTGCTTTGCATAATTCAGTCATTTTAACATTGCAAATATTATTGCAGGAGAACAGAGCACTGGGTTGGCTTTATCTTCCCTATCCAAAACACTAGTAGGTAAAGGAAGGGTGTGGCACTAAGGCTCCCTTCACATATAGGTATTTTGAATCGTGGGCGGAATCACCTCGATTCTGCCCGCAATTTTAAAATGCTCTGTTAAAATATCAAATCGCACACCAGTGTGTTCAGGTGCTATTCATTTCAATGACACCATAAAAAAGTGGGACCCCAAAAGAAGTTCACACGCATCATGTGATTTGGTTTGCATGATTGTAG